TTGAGTAAACCCCGACGACTATGGAGTTAGCGCCTGTTGAGCAAACCTTGGTAACTATGGATTTAGTGTCCGTTGAGAAAACCCTGGCAACGATGGATTTCGTGCCGATTCCTTAGGATAATCCTTAGGAATAAATGAACGAGGAATAGCTGATTCTTAGGGTAGATCCTTAAGAGTAAAGAAGATAATGGGGATGGGTAATTGGGTTGATTGTTTGATGTTTAAACATAATAATTATATTATTGTAGGTTGAAAACCCTATGTACTCACCAGGTTTCCCAACCTGACCCACTCAGTTTATTTGTATCACAGGTGTCGATATGAAGCTACTTTACACTGAGGGATTTAAAAGAGATGTAGATCACTAGTGTAAATGAATGTAAGTTCTGTTTATGTTTATGTTTTTATATTAACGATGACATCCCAAATGTTTTAAAATGGATAAAAAATACATTTCTTCGTAAATGCTTTGATAACGTATTTATCATGTTTTTCTGGGAACAAATTCCGCAACATTTTTATTAAAAGAGGTACTCTGATTTTTATAAAGCATAAACAAAATCGGTCTTTTCTGGCCGTGAAAATGGGGATGTCAGAGTTGGTATCAGAGCATTAGTTTAAGCGAACTAGGAATAAGGATTTATTTCTAGACTTAAACTTAGAATGTTAAGCGATGATCGTGAGGAGTGTGTCTAATATATTTTAGGAAGTACACCTGAATTAACACAAGCACTAGCTTAATTAGGGAATATGCCCAAAATGCTTTTATGTGCTAAATGATTTGTGATGCTTTATGCTATCGTTTGATCAGATCTATGGTCTATTGCCGACCGGATCTGGAAATTTTATGTGCTCAGGTTTCTAAACGTTTAAATCGATATTAGAACTGGCATGTAACTTTTCGGAGTAATAAGGAGGAATATGCGTCTAAATCTTCCTCTATCTATATTCTCGTCTCGATACACCGAACGCCTGCTTTGGTGTATAGAATGCCATGATAAGGACTCATAGCAGACTGAGCAAATGGAGGAAATAAGAAGGCATACGATAGTGAATAATACCTATCATAAGATATCGTAAGAGTTATATCTTGCCTTTAGAACGCGTCTAAGAAATAATACGTCTAATATGGGAGAAGTACACTTTCGATTAGCAGAAAGAAAGATTTTTGGTATAATCCATGAAGTTATCCCATCGTCTGACATTTCCATCACCAACCGAGTTGAAGCAGAATTGATGATTGAAGATACGCATGGAAGAAGTCTTAGTAGAGTCTAGGGAAAATTATATGATTGTTTGGACACATTTGTATGTGTTAAAATTGTTTTTGTGATAATAACTTGGAGAACTACGAGACAATACTTGGGACGAGTATGAGTAGGTGTGAATGGTAGTAGAGGCCTATGCTACCGGAAGCACATGACTCGCACTTGGATCAGGGAAAGTCACAAGGTTACCAAGAAGCTAGTAATTGATACCGTTTTATTCAAATATGTCGTTACCATCATTTCGGTAATGACTAAGAAGATGATTGTTATTCCGACCCTAGTGGTCACATCGAATTGAGTCCGACTAAGACGAGTATGTTACATTGTTCAGAGAACCAAGTCCGATGTAGCATCTCACTTAAGCTAGAAGATTAAAGTGAAAGACAATCAAAGCGATCAATAGAGGTATCGCGATAGTTGCTTGTAGCTAGGAATGCTACCTTTTAAGATGTGATTATATCGCATTAGAACATGAAGGGAGGTATAGTCTGTTCTGGAAATTTGACTCTAAAAGACCTGAGTCTAAGCGTTGCAACATACAATGATAGGTCATTACAATATGACACATCAGTCCATGGTAGTAATCCTAGTATTGTTAAGAAGAAGAAGAAGTCTCCAGCAAGGATCGAGATTGTGGCTTGAAGGTCATAATTTGGAGTCCAACGTGAGATAGGGAGCATGTGCAAGATCGAGCACCGCCTGCAGTTATGAAGTCCAAGAGTTAGATACCCGTTTGAAGCAACATAGAAGATACGATTATTACTTAGGATGAAGAGATAACGTATGGAGTCATTATACAGCCATGTTTCGTTGATGATTCCGGGACATAATCATCCTAAGGGGGAGATAATTGTAACGCCCGTAGATCCGGGCTAGTCAATTTAGAGATAATAGGGGTCGAAAACGACTTTTCGACAAAATATTATTTAGAATAAATAATCTTAACTGAGTTGTATAATATGTCTCAAGGGTTCCATACATATAAAGAACGCCGAAATCCGAGTTATAACGAAGAAGTTATGGCCCGTCGAAGTTTTTCGGCAAAACCGACACGACACCGGGAGACGTAAATAGTGAATTTACGATAGAGGACTTTTTAGCCTTAGTGATCTAAACAAAAGTTATAGTATACGTTAAACCGAGAACATACAAAAAAAATAACAACCAAATCTAACTTCGTATGAGGAAGTTATGAATTTTCTAAGTATTGGCATAGAAGTGCACGACCCGAAACTCGAATTTTAGTTCGAGTGGATTTTGGCCTATGAAACCTAAATGAGAGTTGAATATCTCATTAATAGGAACTCAACGATAAAAATACAGACGAAAACGGAGTCCGTATGAAGGAGTTACGAATTCTTCGCGGTCATTTAACAGTCTAATCTCCTCCTACTGTTAATTTTAAGGTCGGTCGAGAATTAGCCGATGGAGTCTAAATTAAAGTTGTAGATCTTGTTTTTACCTACGCGTGGATATAAATAACGTCGAAAACGGATCTCGTATACGAAAGTTACAGGGTTTAGAAGTCGGCAGGGTGCTGTGCGAAATCGGGTGACGTGGCTGAATATGGGCCAAGGCTTTCTCCCCAAGGCAAGCCACCAGGTGGTGACACTTGGCCATGGACTCGACGAGTAGGACCTCCTACTCGACGAGTAGAGCAGGATTCCAGCCTATAAATAGAGGTGTCGGGTTCCCTCATTATTCACACCTTCCCATCTTCTCCTTCTCTCTCTAGAACTTCTCTCTAGCCCCCCTTAAGCCCCCTAAAGTCTAGGTAAACCCCCTAGCACCCTAAGGAAGCCCCGAGGCTCCCGGAGTCCCGAGAAAAGAGCCTTTCGGCTAGGGAACGCTTCTCCAGCGAAGCCCGATTTTTGAGAAAACCCGCTGTAAGTGAGTTATGCCTACCCTATCTTTAGTATAGCTTATGTTTTAATATAGTAACATCATTAGGACCTTAAAATAATTATTTGGGCTATTATTATGAGTTATATAAGAGTGTTTCTTAATGCTTATATAATATTAATAATAGCTAGACTATTATCTAGTCGCGGTTAACGTTAGACTAAACCCTAGTGGTATTGATACTAGGTTTTGTCAAGGGAAATTTGTTTTGAGATAACGAAGTGTTGTCCGAGTACCGAGTCACCACCTTACCAAGTGAGTGCATAGTTACTTTCATCTTACACATAGATATGAAGTATTTAATATAAATTATGTGCTATGTGTGAATATTATATGTATACTTGCTATCTATGTTGGATGAACAATTTTATACATGTTTTAAATGATTTAAAATACATATATATTTTATATCTACATAATATGTTGGGTAAAACATGGGTAGATGAAATATGAGTTGGATGATGAGTTGAGAGGTGATATAGACCATGAGGTAAGGGTGAGAGGTGGACGATGTGAGAAGCCTTGTTCCCAAATGTTGGCCCCGTCATCTAGCAGATTATGGATGACAACCACGGACTATTCTTGACAGTCCAGTGGAACACTAGCAGGCTCGCAACCTATAGGTTTTATGAACGATGTGTTCACCGGTGTACTCTAAAAACCCATTAACATGTATTGCGAGTGGACTCTCGAAAACGATACTGTCAATAAACGAGATAAACCTCGGCGACTATGGAGTTAGCGCCTGTTGAGTAAACCCCGGCGACTATGGAGTTAGCGCCTGTTGAGCAAACCTTGGTAACTATGGATTTAGTGTCCGTTGAGAAAACCCTGGCAACGATGGATTTCGTGCCGATTCCTTAGGATAATCCTTAGGAATAAATGAACGAGGAATAGCTGATTCTTAGGGTAGATCCTTAAGAGTAAAGAAGATAATGGGGATGGGTAATTGGGTTGATTGTTTGATGTTTAAACATAATAATTATATTATTGTAGGTTGAAAACCCTATGTACTCACCAGGTTTCCCAACCTGACCCACTCAGTTTATTTGTATCACAGGTGTCGATATGAAGCTACTTTACACTGAGGGATTTAAAAGAGATGTAGATCACTAGTGTAAATGAATGTAAGTTCTGTTTATGTTTATGTTTTTATATTAACGATGACATCCCAAATGTTTTAAAATGGATAAAAAATACATTTCTTCGTAAATGCTTTGATAACGTATTTATCATGTTTTTCTGGGAACAAATTCCGCAACATTTTTATTAAAAGAGGTACTCTGATTTTTATAAAGCATAAACAAAATCGGTCTTTTCTGGTCGTGAAAATGGGGATGTCATAGATACTTACCTTTTTTTTCCATAGATATGGATTTTGGAGACGTTCCCAGAGGCAACCCAGTTTTATATACGCACGCCGACAGAATTGCCACAAATGAGGTCGTAGAGAAGTAGAACACTGTTATCTTGGCTTCAGTGTCGTCGAATAATCAACGTGTTTGTGGTATGCTCAGGGACAGTTCCACTATGGTGCCCATAGTGGCACCGGAAACCCCTTATTTTTCGGATACAGTGTAAAATTTTCGTATTTTTCGTTTTTTCTAGATTTGTGCCACTACGTAAAAGGACAAATGTGCCACCGGCAACACCTACGTGCCACCGGCAACACCAACTACGAAATCCCAGGTCCGTCCCTGGGTATGCTTTTTATATTAAGGATTATATATAATTACAAATTCCAATGTTTTTTTTCATGTTAAACTAACAATATGATTTTTGCAGCCTAACAACCAACCTATTTCTGTCGTGGCAAACCCGACGGAGCTGATGGTGCTGTTTTATGTTCGCTACGTCAATTGGACTCTTAACCATGAAGAGTATCCCCCACGGCAACATAGTCCGGTCCGAAATAGTCCACCTGTTGTTGCCTCGCCTCCTCGAAGAAAGATGTACAAGTCGGAAACATCTTCGACTGAATCTGCCACAAATGCTTCTTCCTCGCAACAGCCTGAAATAGAAAGAACTTATATGTCAAACGACACATCAACAAGGTTGGTAAAGAAGAAGAAGACGAGCACAAAGGCATTAGTGAAGCGTCTACTAGGCGTTGTGTCTGACTTAACTTCTAAAGTAGATCGTGTATTACAGAAAAAAAAAGATGAACCAGACACAGGGTTTGGAGAGGAGGATGAGGAGATGATAAATGAAGAGGAGGAAGAAACATATTACCATGGTATACAGTTGGACTATGATGATATAGCTACTCATGGTTTGGAGGGGAAAGTTGGGCGTACACCTACGCATGTTGAGCCGTCACCGGACGTGGGTGAACATCACACAAAAACAGTGACTCATATTGTTAGGCCGCAACGAAAGAGGGGTGTTGCATGGTATCAGCGGACTCCGTTCACAGTGGTACAAAACTCATATTTTAAATTTGGTATATTTATAAAATATTACGTTATTGATAATTATTTAACATGTTAATTTTTTAGATGCAATCCACACAAAAATTGAAGAAAATCACCAAAACAAGGAAAAAAAAGCAGTGGAGAGTCCTGAAAAAGAAAATGAAGACATTGTGAATGAAGAGAGTAATGATGTTTCAAATCATCTCCTGTTGGACAGTGTTCATGCTGCTAGTACGTTGAGTTTTTGGAAAGAATGGAATATGATCTCTTCCAACCTCAACACTACACATAGGTTGCATATACTCCCACTGGATGTGGAGTTTTGGTCGAGGTTACTTGCAGTTACTGACTCCGGGTGGTTAATTTCTTCGGTAACATTCGTTAAATTTAAATTTTAACTATTTTTTAGACGATAATTTATATAAATAATTGTAACATTTTTATCTTAAAATGTACAACATATTGCGATATGGAGTGCCTTGCTCATGGAAAGACGACCGACGAACGCAAGGTGGACGATATACCCTCAAGAACTCAATTTGCAACCCGGAAAATCATTTGTTTTTAGGAATGTAGCAAATGGTGTTGGAGGCTGTCTTAAATGGAAAGATGTGGATATGGTTAGTTAAGTTTAATAATTATTTATTTATATATATATAATATTACTGAATTTACGACAATTTTTTTTTTTGCAGGTTCTATTCCCCATAAACGTTATTAGTGTTCATTGGTTTTTGGTAGTGCTACATTTAGATACCTGGAAAGTACACATTTATGATTCAGCACGATCTATGAATTTCTTCTCAAAGTACTTGATTGATGGAGAATTCAAAAGTTTTGGGGATAGTATTATCTCAAAGCTAGATGTCATTGAGTACTGGAACGATTTCCCCGATGGACACAAAGACAACGCAATTGTGGAGTTTATTGATATTGTAGACGTGCCACAATAGGAATATATTCTTGATAGAGGGGATTGTGGAGTATTCGTATGCATGTTTATGGAAATGATTGTTTCGGGGGTACCGGTGAAGATTGATAAGCCACATAAAGATGTGGGATTTCTCTACAGAAATAGGATGACAAATATTATTTGGGATACTATATAACTTGATTTTAGGAACTTTGTATATATTAATATGAAATACCTGTTTTTAGTAATTTTGTTTAATACAAATATGTGTTTTATTTTAATTTATTTTTGTTATTATTTTGTTTCATGGACTGCCAAGTCACTTCTGCGGACTGTCATGTCTATATAAAACGACTCACAAATGTGTATCACTTCATCTAATCTATTTCACTTCATCTACTTTGTATCTTTTACAATGGGTTCAAAACCATGGACCGCTAAGGAGTATTTGCTTCTAACTCGTGCATATATTAATGTCTACGAGAACAGTAGTTTGGATGATAGAATGTTTTGGCTCCTTTTAACTAATACCTTCAACATTGACGCTGAAACCACCATAGAAAACCACCGCAACACGCTTGATATAGCAGCAAAATGGTATGAATTGAAAACAGAAGTTGTTTTATTCAACGATCTTTATAAGAAGATTGAAGACACATGTGTGAATGATACTGAGGAAGACGTCTTGGAGGCGGCTAAAGAAGAATACAAATCCATTAGCAATGGAGAGAGTTTCGACTATAAAGCCCCTTGGAATATTTTGAAAAATCTATCGTATTTTTAACTAGTACTGCGTTTTGTATTGTGCTGGTATTGCTTTATTTATATGTAATATGGTTGAGTTTTTATTTGCGTGTTTATTATGTTATTTATCCTTTATTTTTGAAACATAACACACCAACAAATATTACGATACGTTCAAACAAAATAAACATTACAAATAACATAAAAACATTACAAAAAAAAACAGAAAAATAAACATTACGAATAAGATGTACGACTAACAAACATTACAAATAAAAGAGTCGTCGACATGAAAAAAGGTTTATTTTTAACCAGATTCCAAACCTCCGTATACTCGAAATCAGTTCCATCAAACTCGCACAGGTAATATCCGTTCACGTCTTCAAGAAGTTCTTTATCGCCTGCATGAGAGCGTCGTATTTTCTCATAATTGTAGCATCGATTGAACCATGTGACTTTATTCTTTAAATTCATCCATTTACTAACAATATCAGGTTTTAGCCGTTCCTGTCCTTGACCCGCCTCATAGTTGAACAAATCTATAAGGCGGGACCATTCATCACCAACAAGGCAATGAGGGGGAGCCATTACTGGTAGACCCTCGTAAACGGTAATCCAACATCGTGTTAGGACCAACACCTATGTTGTCCTCCATGGAGATGTACCATTTGTTGGAGCTGACGCATTTGACGGATTTGATGCATTCGAAGAAGTTGGTACATTGGACGCCATTTTGTGAAATGATTCCTTTTGTGATGAGCGTGTGGGAAAACATTTTCAATACTAACCCGAATTGCATCGACCCTATCAGTTACAAACGTCAAATCTTGACAATCACCAATGCATTCATACAACTTTTCAAGAAACCATGTCCAAGTAAGACCACTCTCTTTTTTGCATATTCTGTGCGCAAGGGGCACTATCTGGTTGTTCCCATCCATAGCTATTGCATGCAATATGGTTCCCTTAAAATCACCCTTCAAATGGGCACCATCCATAATTATGACTTTACGACAAAAACGTTTGAACGCTCGTATCTGCAATATATTAAAATGGAACACATAAACACTCTACATTTTTTTACAAATAAGTATATATTAAATAACAACAAGTTTTTTGTATTTACCGTGTTCCTAATGGCATAAAAACAACACTCGAAACAATCTTCAGAATCTGTTTGTATATAGGACACTGTACATGGATTATGCATCTTCAAATTGTGAAAATAAATAGGAAGTTTGGAAAAACATTCTTCAGAGGATGATCCCAACAACAGTTCCATATCATATTGTTTTGCACGCCAAACTTGTTTGTAACTTACATTGATTTACACCAAAGCGTTCAAATCCCTTGATATTTCATTAGGCATCTAAACCTTGGAATGAGCTTTTCCCATAATCTCATGCAATATAGTACCCATGACTTTTTTATTTGCGTGCTTATGATTTGGGTGTATCTGTAATGACGAACATGTGTGCACGTTGTTGAAAGTCCTGATTTCAAATTCATCAGTGGGATCAATGCGTTTTGCATATAAACACCAAGTAAAGTTCTCAATATCACAATATACCTCATACCGGTTTTTGTTAGAATGTTTGGTATTAAACTGAAACTTTTCTCTGGTTGCTTTAAGACTCAAAGCAAATATTAGTTGTTGTTTGTTATCATACGTTTGACGAACAAACATATCATCATTTGGACCTAAACTGTGAAATGGTCCAGGTTCAACAATAGGATCAGGACAATTAGGTATGGGAGGCATATCGTAAAAGATGTCTGAAGCTTTTTTTTCCGTGTGTGAACTCATCTTCTGACCAGCCTTCATTTGACTCTTAATCGTCTGACAAAGTGTTGTCACGCAGTCTTCCAAACTCATATAAATTTTCTTCTTCCACTGTATTCACTGCCACAGTTTCTTCTTGTGGACAGTGGACACTCTTCAACATTATCAGATACAATGTTTTCAACATTGTATGGTACAATCTTGTCAACCGCTTCTGTCTGTTCGACCCATCCCTTAAACACCTCCAAATACAAATGCACAATCTCCTTCGTTTCAGAAATTACATTTCTGAGTTGATGAACATCTGCTTCGTCTACAATATTCATAACATACCCATGAACCGGGTGTTGGAATAACAATGATATATTACTATTGAACGCATCAGCCTTACTTTTGACCAAATCAAACAATATTCGACGGTCAAAATTTGGCGGAAGCAGTAAACCTAAGTTGTTAAACTTTGGTCTAACGTAGGTGTTAATCCCATTACTCATCTGCCAAAAACCTCCCGTACATAAAATAACAAAACTCATATTTTATTTGAAAACAAATTTCTAACACTAAAATCGATCTAATATTGCAAATGGATCAAAAAAAATGAAAAAAATCGTTTATATCACAAAAACCGTCGCTAATAGCCTTGCAACCACCGATTCCGTAGAGATTTTAAGGCCTCCGCGGAGCCCCTCGTAACCTCCTCTGCGGAGGATAAATGAACAACCAAACCAATCCCTCCACAGAGGGCTTAATGTCTCTGCAGCGATATCTATGCGGACTAATAGTCAATGAATAAAAAAGTACAACACTCTACGTTTCGCGGAGATTTCATTGTTCCGCGGAGGTCCGCAGAGGGTCCTCTGTGGAATGCATGTCTATACCCGGAAATGTCATTTTTCATGTCTGAAATTTGAAATTACCCTCCAAAATTTGATTATAGCCGGTATTTTTCTAGCTTTAATTCCTATTTCTTATGACCAATTTTAAATTATTTATTTCTAAATCCAAAGTGTTTCATAAGCAATGGATGGTTTTAACTACTCCAACTTTGATAAACCCGAGTTAGTGCATTTAAATGAATCATGGTTTAATGGTTGTCTAATATGGAAAAAAAATAAAGTTAAATAACTTTGATAAACTATTTTAGAGAGCTTATCATCTAATACACACTTTATCATCTATTTTTAAACAAAACTAGATTAGATAAACATGCCCAAAATCACTTATCATCTAATACACACTTTATCATCTATTTTTAAACAAAACTAGATTAGATAATATGCCCAAAATCAAATAGAAATTTGTAAAAAGTAATAACTAAATAGTAACCCTAATCAAATAAACCTAACTCTTGATTTCACGTTTTTTCAAGTGTTCAACAAAATAAAAAATAATTGAAATGACCATAAGCTTGCTTAATGCTTACTTATTTTAGCTTTATTTTAAGTTTCAACAACACATAATAACTAATAATTAACCTTAATCAAATAGATCTAATTGTAATTTTTCAGTTTTCGACACATTCACAACAAATAATTGAAATTTGAAATAACCTTAAACCTAATTGCTTATTTGTTTCACTGTGAGAAATAAAAACAGGAGAACTTGTCGTCTCCGGAGGCAGGTCGTCGTGTCATGGGCAGAGGAGGGTGACCTGTTTACTTGGCTTGTTGTGTCTGATGTTCGACAAAAGGTAGGAGGGATTATAGGCTTCAGCTCCTTCTGTTTTCTTTCAATTCCAGACTTCCCGTAAAACAAAGAAAAGAGGCCAAGGGGGTGGTAGACTTAATTGAGTAATCTATTTATCAAATTGGGTAGTGGGCTTTTTTTTTTAGAGTACTAAAATACTTTGGGCTACTTAAAAACTAATGATTTGTAAATTTAAGGGTAGGTTAGTTTTTTTTACTGGTAACACCAACGTATAAAAAAAATTACAGAAAAAATTACACTTCTCGAAAAAAAATTAAGGGATAGCAAGGGCCACCTCGAGCACCCAGTATGCTCCGCCCCATGCGATAGCCCTTATCTGGACTTCTACTTCATACTTTCTAATTAATCTAACTTGAAGCTAGATCCTCCCTTTTTTTTCTTGGTCCCAGTCATCCATAACATTCTCCATGCACCCACCATTCGTTAGCAACAACCTTACCACGTTTGCCACTAGTTATTTCCCTAGCTTGTTTTGATGTTCAGGGGAACTCTCGGGCTTCTTCGTATCCGGATAGTATTAGGACCCTTGTGCCCTGGCCCTTGATCAAATAAATCTGGCTTCCCTCGCACAACTCAAAATGACCCTTGCTACGAGACGCAGTTTCATCATTGAGAAAGAAGTCTCTAAAGCCACTAGTGTCAGACAATTTAAGGCTCTTTTTGCTACCGTTGTTCAATTTTCTTCTTACCTTTTCTTCCTCTCGAAGGGTTTTAAGAAGAAGGGCAACAATGAAGATACTAAAACTGTGTCTATATGGTTTTAGTAAGAATCTGTTGCAAGCAAATGCATGTAAGCTTATCCATGA